TCTTCCACTGCCGGACGGCCTCCGTCTCACTCACAAAGGCCGCGCGAGTGGCGAACACACCGAAGTCGTCGCCACTCAGCACCAAAGGACTCCTTCCCCTCAGCAAGTACAGCATCTCCAAGTGCGGCCGCCATCTGGCCCAATCGCCGCCCCTCTCGAGGATGAAGAGCCGACGTGTGATGACCACAATGATGGCCGCACCTTGGGTCAGCTGAGGCATCGGCACCTCCACGAAAGCGCCAAAGATGGCGGCCACCACGGCGGACAGCAGCCGGGTGAGAATGGGCAGGAGGACGGCGGCGGTGAATTGGGTGGGATGGGCGTCGATGAGGGCCTCCAGCTGTGAGTAACTCCTGACGTACTCGGCAACCGTCGGGGCCAGATCTTGCGGCACATGAGCGGCACTGATGGGGCCCTCATGCTGCTGGTGGTGGTGGGCAGAAGGTGCATTCCCGGCACATGTGCTTCTGGATGGTTGTGCTTCTGCGCAGCAAAAGTCTTTGGTACCATTGGCAGCTGCCGACGCAGCAGCCGACGAGGACGGCTCGTCGGTAGTTCCACCAGCCCCATCAGCCGCAGCCGACATGATCTGCCCACTCACAAACAGCATAAGACAGACGTCACATCAATGAATCCATTGGTGGCGCCTCATCGACCTGTGAACATCCGAGTGGCTTTCTTTCGTGTACCGCACCTCAGTCGGCTCCTGGGGATGTCAGTAAGTCAGCTGGCTGTGACAGACTTCTCTCGCCCTCCCTCACTCAGCAGCGTCAGAAGCAAGAAGGCCTCAGATCTGCCACAGGCACACACAGAAATACATCACACACAGTGTCATGCCAGTGTCCTCTCGTACCTCTTTTCGTCAGCGAAGCGTCAAGAGAGAGAGGTGACCTGCACCCAGAGGCCCTCTCAGCGCCGCCAGCTGTCGGTGCTGCCCATCGACAACACATGGAAACACCCATGGGGAAACACAGCATAGCGCCACAGACATGACGAGTCGAATGCAGCCAAGCCGCGGCATGAGGCAACCTTCCCGAGTCGAATGCAGCAGCCCAAGACACACACAAAGCCACTGCGACTCCGAAGATGCGAGATTCCCCTCTCTGAGCTCGACGGGCAGCAGTCGTGTGAGGATGGGCAGCAGGACGGCGGCGGTGAATTGGGTGGGATGGGCGTCGATGAGGGCCTCCAGCTGTGAGTAGCTCCTGACGTACTCGGCAACTGTTGCCATTGCCTCCTCAGGCACATCAGCGGCACTGATAAGGTGATCATGCTGCTGCTGGTGGTGGGCAGAAGGTGCATTGCCGGCACCTGAAACACGCCACGCACATGTGCTTCTGCAGGGTTGTCCTTCTGGGCAGCGAAAGTGTTGGTTACCATCGGCGGCCGACGCAGCGGACGAGGATGGCTCGTTAGCAGAGCCACCAGCTCCATCAGCCGCCGCAGCACCCGACATGATCTGCGCACCCACACAGGCAGAACACAGACGTCAGATGAGTGAGTGAATGTGTGGCGCCCCAAGTTTATGCTTACCGACGGCATCGGGCCATGAGCCATCGCTCTGACAACATCCGAGTGGCTTTCTTTCGTGTACCGCACCTCAGTCGGCTCCTGGGGATGTCAGTAAGTCAGCTGGCTGTGACAGACTTCTCTCGCCCTCCCTCACTCAGCAGCGTCAGAAGCAAGAAGGCCTCAGATCTGCCACAGGCACACACAGAAATACATCACACACAGTGTCACGCCAGTGTCCTCTCGTACCTCTTTTCGTCAGCCAAGCGTCAGGAGAGAGAGGTAACCTGCACCCAGAGGCCATCTCAGCTCCGCCAGCCGTCATTGCTGCCCATCGACAACACACAATTGGAAACACAGCTAGCGCCACGATGCAGATTGACCTCTCTGAGCTCGCAAGGGCGGAGAAAGGGATTTTTCCAATGCGAAGACAGTAGACAGCTGTCCCCTGCTGTCTACTGTCCCATGAGGCGCTCAAAGACGGACAACAAACCATCGCCAACCGACTTCTCCAGCTGCACACCTCCCTCCTTGGCTCCTTGCCATCGGCCTCAGCTTCTGTTCACTCCTCCCACCGGCACACACCTTTGCCCCCGTGTCCACCAGTCCCACAGCAGCAATGGCCTCTTGCTCTTCGACGGTTGCCCTGATGCTGCTGACCCTCGCCGTCGCATCAACAGCTACCTAAATCCGCCATCAGAGGTACACACACACATACTCACACACAGACACACACACGAACAGACAGAGATCCCATGGTGGTACGATCATCCACTCATGGCCCGTGGCTGCAGGTGTTCAAGAGAGAGAGGACTCGTCAGTGGCGGCAGGCGGCGCTGTGGCGCGGCGCCTTCAGGTCGACCCGGAGGCCCTATGCATCGATCTGTGCGGTATGGTCAATGCTCGAGATCATCATCCACTCATCGGTTGTATGACTTCACATGTGTTCGCACTTGGCTGCAGGCGCCTTCTGTGGCGGTTTCTGCTCTGAGTCGGGCCTGGGGGGCGAGTGCATCGACTCGTGCATCAGCGATTGCTCTGCGGAGTGCGTTGCGCGACGACACCGTCTTGAGGAGGTGAATGCTGCCGACAGCAGCGATGGGCAGGAGGGCCACCCTGCTGCTGCTGCCGTGGCTGATGGAGAGCCGCAGCTGCGGGAGCTCCAGAGCTGTGTAGTCACGTGCGACCTCGGCGACGTTGACGAGAACTGCATTGGCGGCCCACATGCAGACGCCGACTACCAAGGATGCCGCGGCGGATACCACGTGAGTATGGACACACAGAGAGGGAGGGAATGGGACCACGGCATCGTGTGGCTGCCTCGCTCATTGATTGTGTGGGTACTCGAGTGCAGGTCTATAGTGTGTCCTGTGAAGGTCCGCCGTTGGGAGACCTCATCGGCCCTGCTGTTTATCTTTCTGACTCCATGTGCTGTGGCAGATGCTGAAAAGAAATGCACCGACAGAGAGTTTTGGTCTGTTCGGCTTTGTCGCTGATATTCATTGTGTTTTGCACTTGTGGGTGCTTCGGTTGGTGAAGCAGGCCAGCACTTTTTGCCTGTCTGCCTGGATGGATGGCTCGCTCTGCGCCGCTTTTTGCTCTTTGTCAAGAGAGTGTGTGTGTTTGTAGTGCTCGAGGGCGGGTAATGATCATGAAAGTGGTGCGTGGACCGCATTCATTGGCCACTTCATCAAGCCTCACGTCATCTGATCGACCCCACTCACCAATATGCTGTCTGACGTCCACAAACCCACACACGAACAACAGCTCCACGGATGCGGACATTCGGAGAGGGAAAGCCGCTGCCTCTCTCTATCTATCTCTCTCACACACACACACACATCCATGGCATCAGTCACCGCCGTGCGGACACACACACCGGAGAGACAGACAAAAAGGGACACTGAGGGAGGGATGGATGGAGGGAAAGAGTTCCACACGGTTGTCTCTCTCTGTGATTTGTGTGCGTGTCCTTTGGTCAGTTTCTGCTGGAAGCTTATGTGTGTCTTATTTGCCGGCTAGCGATGGACAGGCGTGGGCAGTGGGTGGTGCGGCTCAGCCGGGCGGCCAAACATGACCTCAGACAATACTTCAGACAATGGCGCATTCCTTTCGACGAACAGGTCAGTGTATGTGTGCGTGTCAGGTGGCGTGTGTGTTGTCTGTGTCAATGGGCTGCCTGTGTGGAGTCCGCCGCTCGTCGAGGAGGCAGTGAGGTGGCCTGTGAGGGCTGAAGAGTCTGCCGTGTCAATCAATGTGTTTGATCGGCCCACCCAATGGGCAGAAACTCTTACTTCATTGAGCAGTCTTTAATATATTTGAAGCCTAGCGGTCACTCACCCACACCACAGCAGCCGTCCACTCACAGCAGACACCATGCACAAGAATCGGCCTTTCTCTCCTACTCGTGCGCACAAGAAGAAAAGCAAGACAGAGAGAAGAAAAGGTAGACATCGTCTGGTCTGCAGACAAGCAGAGAGACAAAACCCATTGCCTGCCTTGCTGTCTGTCTGTCTGTCTGTCTGCTGCTTGAAAATGACATCCTGTACACTGCCCTCAACCACACCACCATCTCACCGCTCCCTCTCCCCCCGCCACACCTTTCCCTCCAGGTGCTCCCCCATCACTCTCATCACGACATTGCGCGTCTTGTCGTGGGGGGCCGACTCGGTTGAGTATGTAATGACATCACGAGAATGACCCCACTCGCACAGCTGAATGGCCACCATGTGCCCCTCGCCTATCACCTCACTCCCAAACACCACCCGCCGTACCTGCCCCCCTCCGTCAGAGTACTGCTTGTCAAACACGATCGCCCCCGCCCCCCACTGTGTCTCATCGCTGGGAGAGGCCGCCAGCAGCTCACACACACGCTGAGATGCAGCAGAAGCAGAACGATGAGACTGGAATTCTCTGATGTAACGGGGGAAGTGGCCGTCACGAAGCCGGAAGAACAGCTCGAATGCCACCATTGATGTGTAGCTGGGGTACGTCGCGGAGCCCAGCTCTGTGGGCGGGTCGGCGGGGTCGAATGTGTGGTGAGGGAAGAGACGGCTGGCAGAGGCCAGGAGGGCGGGAACATAGTAGCTCAGGTCGAAGAGGATGCCGTCGCCGTCCATCAGCTGTCTCTGTTGGCCGTTGTGGTCGACAGTGACCCCCCGGCTGAGTACCTTCCACTGCCGCACGGCCTCCCTCTCGCCGATAATGGCCGCCCAGCTGCTAAACGCGTCGAAATGCTCATCGCCCAACACCACAGGCCTCTTGCCTCTCAGTAGATAAAGCATCTCCAAATGCGGCTTCCACCTCGCCCAATCGCCGCCCCTCTCGAGCCTCTTCAGCCGGCGGGTCAGCCGCTCGATGGCAACTGCGATGCGGCAGCCGTGGCTGAGTGACTGAGGGAGGGGCAGCTGGGGGATGATGCGCATCAGAAATGAGCCGAGGCCGACAATGGGCAGTAGCACACCCAGCAGACGCATCGCGAGAAGCAGGAGGGCGCGACTTACGGCGCTGCGATGAGGGGAAGTCATCGAAGCAGCCACTTCCAGGGCCAGCTGGGGCAATGGCACCTCAACCATGCCACCAAAGATGGCGGCCACCACGCCGGGCAGCAGCCGGGTGAGAATGGGCAGGAGGACGGCGGCGGTGAATTGGGTGGGATGGGCGTCGATGAGGGCCTCCAGCTGTGAGTAACTCCTGACGCACTCGGCAACCGTCGGGGCGAGATCTTGCGGCACATGAGAGGCATCGATGGTGCGCTGATGCTGCTGCTGGTTCGCCGACGATGCCCTGGCCGCACCTGCAAAACGCCACACAGACAGACAGACAGACAGCTGTGTGCCGGCATTGTCGTGTCCTTCTGCAGCGAACGTGTTGGTTACCATTGGCGGCAGACGCAGCCGACGAGGATGGCTCGTCAGCCACAGAGCCTCCACCACCTCCAGCAGCAGCAGCACCCGACATCTGCACACCCGCGACAGACACATCACGGAAATCAAATCAGTGAATGCACGTGTGTCGCCTCATATGTGAACATCCGAGCGGCTTTCTTTCGCTTCCCGTACCTTGGTTGCTTGGCTGCCCATGATGGTCTCAGATACCTACGATGGAGTGCCCTCCTCCTCTGTCGCTCAACCGCACAACGATACTCAAAGGCACCAAATCTTCCAATAAACACACAGAAAGCACACAGGCTGTCATTGCTCAGCGCTTCGCTTCCCTTCCCCTGGTTGCCCTCTCCCGCCTCAATTTGTCCGAACGGCGTCACTCAGGGAGATGGCGGCAGCATCTGTGGTGATCGACAGCATCACAGCAGCTCCTTGGGCATCTGCCCGACACTCTACGCGGCCGTGTTGTCACCGGGGAATAGCTCGCAATTGTGCAATTGTTCCGGACAAAGGGATGGGCGGTATCTACGTATGGAGTCATGGTGCAGGATGCACGCATGCACGCCGCCTCCAAGCTGCTGCTGGGGTGGCGTGTGTGCGACGTTGTGTGCCTGCCTGTATGTTGCCGTCGTTCGCAGCGCATTGCATATCCTCCCGTTTGCTGCATCTGCCCTCTGCGTGCTGCGTGTTGCGTGTTGCGTGTCCGGGTGCGTGTTTTCATGTTGGACAGACCGACAGGGGACTTGGCCGCCAGGCCGCCTAGGGTGCTCCCTGAAACCGCTGCTGCAATTGTTCCGGACAAAGGTAAAAAAAATAAAATTCGCATGGACAGGACGAGAGTGAACTTCGAATGAGAGTGAACGGGAACGAGTGAACGTGAACGATAACCGCCACGTTACCTGCCACTCTGGAGCTCTCAGACGGTCAGAGAGGGTAAGGTGGCAGCGAAAGAGGCAGATGAAGCGTTGAAATGCTTCAGTCAGCTGCTGCTTCGGTGTTTTGTGT